TGCTGTTATAATTGAAACGTACGTTGTATATATATTATTCTCTATACTGTGTGTGTTTTTATATTTAATAGTATTGTGTTAAACATATTATTGTTGTGTTTTATTTTCTACTTAAATACTAACTTCCACCAAGATATACAGGCGTATATCGCAATAGGTTATTGGCCCAGACACATAGTCTCAGGCACAACAGTGGAGTATCAGAAGGCTAAGTATTTATGTAGTTAAAATTCACTTATTCCAATTGTTCAGTAAGTACTATTTTTAAGTACGTTATCTTTTAACTATGGACGAGTCACTGAAGATTACAAAGCTGAGTAACTCGGAAGGCTGGACACTTTGGAAGTTTCAAATGAAGGTAATAATTAATTCATTTGAGATAAACGGTATAATTACAGGAGATTATAAAAAGCCAGTATATACAATAGCAACCTCCGAGAAAGAAGAGGATGCCAAGAAAAGGTTTCAGTTAGAACGAATAGCGTGGTCAAGGGCTGATAGTAAATGTCAAAGATTAATCGTCACGTCATTGGAAAATGGACCGTTACAATATTTGCTAAATTGTAGTACAGCATATGATATGTGGAACAAATTATTAAGTATCTACGAGCAAAAATCTGAAGCAGGTATACATTTATTACAAAATAAATTTTTCAGTTATGTAAAAGAGCCTACAGATGACATTTCGACGCATATCAGCAAACTACAGAATCTTCAAAACCAACTCGCTCTATCGGGAGAGAAAATCTCTGACAATATGTTGCTAACTCAAATTCTTATGACTTTACCGCCATCTTATAAACATTTTTACAGTGCATGGGACAGTGTACCTCAAGCAAGTAAAAATTTAAATGAACTTACATCTCGGTTGTTAATAGAAGAATCGAGAATGTCTCAAGGAGGTTCAGAAGTTGAAGCAGAGGAATCCAATGCTTTGACTGTCAAAAGATTTCAAAAGAAATTTTTTAAGAAGAATGGTGGTAATGTTGGTAATGAACGTAATTTTAGTAATAATAATACTAAAAAGATAGGTCCCTGTTTTTGGTGCAAGAAACTAGGTCATCTCAAGAAAGACTGCAAGAAGTATCAAAAGTACCAGAAGGATCAGGGTGAGGCGAAATCAGATTCGCCAAGTACAAGTTTAACAGGTCAAGCGTTCTATAGTGAATCTTTGGTTACTGATCGCAAAGAGAATCAATGGTATTTGGATTCAGGAGCTACTGAACACATGACAAGCAACAGAGAGTGGTTTGCGAACTATAAAAAATTCAGATCGCCAGTGGAAATAAGGATTGGCGATGGTACAAATTTACAGGCAGAAGGTTCGGGAAATATAAACATAATATGTTATGTGGGAAATAACATGAATACAAATTATTTGTCTAATGTGTTATATGTACCAAATTTAAAGTATAATTTATTTAGTACGGGCAAAGCATTAGATAAAGGTTTGAAGTTGGAATCAGATAATAAAAAGTGTATTTTTTTGAAAAACAATAAGGTCGTTTGCACTGGTGAACGCAAAAACGGGTTATACAATATGAACATTGAGATTGTACAACAAATAGCCGACGACATGACATTGACCGAGCAAGGTAACGGACAAATGGAAGTGAATGCGGCAATCGCGGATTCAATTCAACTTTGGCATGAACGACTAGGGCATCAATGTAAACAGTACGTAAAATCTTGTTTGCTAAAACATAATATAAATGTAAGCGGTGATTGGAACCAGTTTTTTTGCGATGATTGTGTTATTGGGAAGCAAACGAGAAAGCCATTTAAGAGTCGTTCGACTACATCGGGTAAAACCGGAGAGTTAATTTATGCAGATTTATGCGGACCGTTTGAAAAAATTTCTCTGGGCGGGTCCCAATATTTTTTATTGTTCAAGGATGATTACACACATTATCGGACGGTCTTTTACTTGAAAAATAAAAATGAGGTCAAAAATAAATTAGAGTTATTTATAAGATCTGTTAAAAATGATTCTGGGAATAAAGTAAAAGCTTTAAGAAGTGATAATGGTTTAGAGTTTGTTTCTAAAGAAGTAACAAGTATTTTGCAGAAATATGGCATTCGACATGAAAAAACAATAGCGTACACACCAGAGCAAAATTCTGGGGCGGAACGTGAAATGAGAACTATTGTGGAAGCAGCACGAACATTACTTCATTCAAAGAAGATGGACTTATCATTTTGGGCAGAAGCAGTTAATACATCAGTGTATGTACTCAATCTTACTGGTAAGAGTACTGTTGAAGGTAAAAGTCCATATGAGCTTTATTTTAACAAAGAACCAGATATAAGGCATTTAAGGGTATTTGGAACAGAAATGTATGTTCATATTCCAAAGGCCAAGAGACGAAAATGGGACGCTAAAAGTAAATTGTGTATTTTTGTCGGATATTCTTTAGATAAACGTGGGTATAGGGCCTATTGTCCAAAAACTAAAACTATAAGAGATTATAGAGATGTTGTGTTTAAAAAAGAAATAAATACTAATGAATTAACATTTAGCGAAAGTGTAAGTCAAGATTATAATGTCGACGAGGAAACACCTCAGGCGGTAGAGGTACAACCAGAAAAAAAAACTCGAAGTCACGCCAACAGAACTACCAAGTTACAATCTTCGCGATCGAGGTCAATTGCGTAAACCGGCCAGATATGCATATATTACGTCGTGTATTACAAAACCAATAAACTATAAAGAAGCTGTGAGCTGTCAGAATAAAAATGATTGGATTTTAGCCATGGACGACGAGATAAATTCATTGCATACTAATGACACCTGGACGTTGGTGCCAATTCCAGAAGGAAATCAAGTATTAAATAATTCATGGGTTTACAAAATCAAGTACAATGGTAACGGGCAGGTTGATCGATTTAAGGCTCGATTAGTTGTTAACGGGTCTCGACAGATACATGGGATAAATTATAACGAAACATTTTCACCTGTAGTTAGATTTGAATCTATTAGAACAATTTTAGCCATTAGTGCGGCTCAGAAATTGGAATTATGCCAATTTGACATTCGTACAGCATTTCTATATGGTATGTTGGAAGACGAACTATACATGGAACAACCGATCGGATATGACGACAATTCAGGACGGGTCTGCAAATTACGTAAGTCGTTGTATGGATTAAAACAATCTCCACGGTGTTGGAATACACGGTTTAAGAATTTCCTTTTGCAATTCAATTTAAATCAAAGTAAATATGATTCGTGTGTTTTCACTAATCATGATAATAATGAAAAATTGATTTTAGCTATTTTTGTTGATGATGGTCTTATTGCGTCGGACAATAAGACAAAAATACGGGTGTTGTTGTCCAAATTAGAAAAAGAATTTGAAGTTAAACATGGTAACTTAGATTATTTTCTAGGAGTGGGAATTGAGAAATTAGATGATGGATCATTATTTATTAATCAAACTAATTATTCTAGAAATATTATTAAACGATTTAACATGTTAGATGCAAAGGATATCTCATTACCCATTGATAAATCAACGACATTGGATGTTCACACGGATTCGATAGTACTAAAAGAAGGTCAAGTACCGTATCGAGAAGCAGTGGGAAGTTTATTATTCCTGTCACAATTAACAAGACCAGATTTGGCATTTGCAGTTAATTTTGCATCACGATTTTTGACAAAACCAACTAATGCTCATTGGTTGATGGTCAAACGCATTATACGTTACGTTAAACATACAATTGATTATGGATTGGTGTATAAATCTGATAATAATTTAGATTTAAGAATATTTACAGATTCTGATTATGCTGGAGATTTAGAAACAAGGAGATCAACTTCGGGACATCTATTCATGTTGGGTTCATCCACAATATCTTGGCAAGCTCAACGTCAAGCAACGGTCTCTCTTAGCAGTACGGAAGCGGAGTTCATTGCAGCGTCGGACATTACAAAAGGACTAATTTGGTTTAAAAGTTTCTTACGAGAACTCACTAATAATAATATGTATGATAAACCTACATTATTCATTGATAATCAAAGTACCATTCGTTTAGTTAAAAATCCGGAGTTTCATCGAAAAACCAAGCACATCGATGTACGATATCATTTCATTCGTGAAAAATATGAAGAAGGTCAATTCGAAGTTCAATACATAAACACAGAAGAAATGTTGGCAGATATCTTCACAAAAGCACTTCCAAAGGACAGATTTGGGATGATTCGATCAAGCATCGGAATACAGAAGATATCACAGTAGAATAAGTTAATTTAAGGGAATATTAATTAAGGGGGTGTATTGAATATAATTAATATTGTTTATTTGGGTCATGGAATATAAGTAATAAATATTATATAACCTTATATGGTATTATAAGTGTACACTGATGAAATCATGAGTAATATTTAAGTTGTTTATACAAGGACCAATTACGTCTGTAACCTAGATTGTATAGTATATAAGACATAGTATTAAGGTGTTGGATTTACCATTCTATTACGGCTGCTGTTATAATTGAAACGTACGTTGTATATATATTATTCTCTATACTGTGTGTGTTTTTATATTTAATAGTATTGTGTTAAACATATTATTGTTGTGTTTTATTTTCTACTTAAATACTAACTTCCACCAAGATATACAGGCGTATATCGCAATAGTTTATCCTATTATATAATACATATAATATTAAATTAATAATAATTTCGAGTGGACTTATTGACCGGGATTATAGTTAACTTAGCCAAGTTAGCTATATTATATTAAGCAATAATATTTGTAATATATAATATTATTATAGTGTTCATCGAGTTATTTTTATGTACGTGAATTCCCCGATATAATCTTTGCAATCGCCGCGTCGACCGTGGGCCGCGGCCCGTGCCTGATTATTTTTAAGTCATACCACGGTGTCGTGCGACGGTGTCATATTGACTTGATGAAAACATTTTAATTTCTATTTAACTAAATTTTAATATAATATTAATATTCATTTACTTTAAATATTACTTTAAATAATCATTTACTTTAATTAATTATGTCGTTTGACACCGAAAAGTTTATTATATGTGTTCAACAAAATGAGTGCATTTGGAATAAACGTAAGTAATTTATTTTATCCAAGCAAACCTGGGCAAAAATGATTTAAATAATGTCCAGGCCTAAGTAATTATAATAAATAAATAAAATGTATTTAATCAGTTTTTCTCGAACTCAAAAATAGAATACTATACCATTAAACATGTTTGTTTAGAAGACAAAAGTCACCATGACACGCAAAAAATTCATGTTGGATGGACTTATGTAGCTAAATCGATGGTCGATAACTTTGATAATTTAGAAGAACACACAAAACGTGAAAAAGGTAAGATATTATGTAATATATTTTATTAAAATAAAAAAAAATTAAATAATCGTTAATTATAAATACTTATTCATATTAAAAAATGAATTGGCTTACCTGATACAATTAAATTTAAATTCAAATAAAAATTTAGAAAATTATAAAACTGTCTACAGCTTTTAAAATTATATTGTTTTATGGTTAAATTAGTGAAAGACCTTAAAAATAAGTAGAAAAATGTAAAGGATACCTACAGAAAAAAATCAATTAAGAAATCTGGCCAAGCTGCCAAGACTGAAAAAAAATATATATACGCTGATATTTTGGAGTTTTTAAGACCGACAATGAAAAATAGAAAGTAATTAAATATTAATATAATTACAGTAGAAATATTTAATATAAAATTGTAATATCTTATGCTAATTTTTGTAGGACCGATAGTAACGTCGCTGGCAGTGATGATACAGAAAACGGAAGTGACGAGGACATCGACGTACAAAACACATCAAACATCGACCAAGTAACAGCATCATCATCTCAACAACCAAAAAAAAAAAGAAAAAAGACACAAAACTTTGAAGAAACGTTAATTGCCGCTTTGGGAAGTCGACAAGCCCGGGAAGATCCCGTCAGCTCATTTTTGATGTCATTGGCTCCACAGATAAGAGGTCTTGAACAAGTTCAACAGAACCAAGTATTTATAGAATTTTTAACAGTCCTACAAAATATAAAATATTCTAATTTACCTAAACAGTCAAACAATCCAAACTTATATCATCAATCCCAAACCAATATTTCGAATTCTAGTCTCCCACCTCAAAATTATTCTAACGTCAATTATTCTTATCCTGTTTATCCTTACAATAATTTTTCATCGACTCCTCCTTCTTCTTCTGGACTTCCATTAATACCAAATCCTCACCTTTCTCCAACAATTTCTTCTTCGCCGCTACCTCCCCATCTTTCTGCCTCCGAATACCCTAGCAACTCTCCTAACAATACACAGTATCAAAACCGTCCTTTGTGATTTATTGTATTCAATTTTTAAATTTTTTTTTAATTTATTATTTATGTCGATCTCACGTTTTTTTAATAATTATAACATATGTATATATATACTAAGTAATTTTATTAACATTCAATTTTTAACTTTATTTAATATCTTTGTAAATTGTAATATATTATTACATATAATATTATTATTTATAAGATAGTAAAAGGTCTATAACTTATTTTAATAATTATAACATATGTATATATATATATACCAAGTAATTTTATTAACATTCAATTTTTAACTTTATTTAATATCTTTGTAAATTGTAATATATTAACTCACTACCTTTTATTATTTTTAAAAATAATTTTACTAAAAAAGTAAGCAGCGTTATTCATATTTTTATAATATAATTACACTTTTAGATAGAATAGTATAAACAATTATTATACTCACCCAATAATTTATTTGCCAATTATTTTACTTTGCCAGCTAAGGGCGTGACTTGAGTGGTTGACATATTTCACAAAGTACTCCCTGACGTCCTTCGCATTTGTTTGTGAATTTCCAACTCCTCTTTTTTCAGCTATGCTATCCATAGAACAATCCAGGCTGTCTTTAAAGTTATAACCATCACGGCGTCTCACAAAATTGTGTAAAACACAGCAGGCTTTGGTAATAATAACCGCAAAATTTGGCTCCACTAACATGCTAGTTTGAAAAACTCTCCATTTCTTAGACAGAATCCCAAATGAACACTCTATGTACTGACGGGCCCTGGACAATCGATAATTAAAAATGCGTCGTTCGTCATTTAATGTTCTGCCGGGAAACGGTCGCAATAAATTTTTATTAAGAGCAAAAGCCTCATCAGCCACGAGTACAAACGGTTGTGGTACGCCTTGATTATCCCCAGGCAGACATTGTTCTGGAGGAAAATTTACCTTGTCTGCATACAACTTTTTACCGAACGCTGACATTTTAAAAACATTACAATCACTCTCTTTACCGTACGATCCCACATTAATGATACGAAAGCAATAATTTGAGTCGCAAATAGCCATAAGTATCAGTGAGAAAAAGTTCTTGTAGTTGTAGTACAGCGATCCACTATTCCTGGGACATTCTATTCTTATGTGTTTTCCATCAACCTGTATTCATTAATACAGGTAAGTAAATACTTTCATATTGGCAGAAGGTTACAATTACTGATAATATTAGTCATAATACTCATAAAGTAGTTTTAAATGATGGTTCTGAATGGATAAGGCACAATGATCAGATATGGCCACACGGCCTAAAAGAAAATGAGTTATCTCCTGCTTCTAATTATTCAGACACGCCTAGTGTTGACCAAACAAACTCCGATTCCTTTGAAACTACTGTACCAATAAATACCACAACACAAAAATCCCCTAGACCCCCGTTAGGATTAAAAAACCCATTCAGCGTTTTTCTCCTTGTGATTATAAATAATTATGTTACTGTATTATTTTTGCATGAAATATTGTTATTGTAATTTGATATTGTTTTTTTAATCATTTGTATTATCTATCTATATGATATTAGAAATGTAATTATGGTTAAGTATATTATTTTTGATTTTATTGTAAATTTAAAAAAAAAGGAAAGAGGTGTTACATATCAGCAGTTTTTATAAATACATATGGTAGGAATTGTCTACCATACGCGAGTGCTACACCGGCACAACTTGTCATTCGTGTAATTTTGGTTTCATAATAAACATCAGCGAATATTATTATTTATATTAATCTAATTGTGTTTTACTTTCATACTAAGGTATAACAAATCAATGAGCAAATCAATTTAAAATATTGAAAATCATTTTTTTTTGTTTGCTAGATTAATATTTTATAACACATGTTTAATGTATATAAATAATATGGAAAAAAAAGGTTTGAATAATAGCAATAATAATAAAATTCGATTATTATAATTGGAAAAAAATTGTACAGGATTAATATACTAACCGCCCCGACTGTATTTGGAAACTGGGTTTTTTCAAAATAGCCTTCAGCTATATCTAGCCAATCATGAGTTGTGGGCTCTGACATCTCAATTGGCTGCAAAATTGTCCATAATACCTCGCAAGTTTCCCGCACTATTTTTGTTATGGTCGACACACCCATTAGAAACTCATAATGTAATGCTGAGAAATGCGTTCCAGTTGCCAAATACCTGAATAGTATAGTATAGAAAAAAATTATATTTTATTCATAACATTCAGATTTATAATAACAATACAACTTATAAAGTCTTATTGTTTTCAAATTTTAGTAACAAACATAATGAATTGTTTTTTTTTATAAATACCCAATTGGCAATTATTAAGTATTATAAAACTATGAATATACCTTATTGTGACAGTCAACCTTTCCTCTGGTGAAATTGGGATACGCATATTTGTATATTGTTTTTGGATGTGCTGTCCGGCGAGTAAAACCTAATGATATAAATTATTACCTTAATTATTATTTATTAAGGATATTCTACATTTTTATAATTAATGAACTTACCAGTTCATCGAAAGATTGAATGCTCATTCTGTAGTAGTCGAAAAATTTGTCTGGGTGCGCTCGCAAGGTCATAAAAGTAATATTGAATTGGCCTTCCTGGGGCCTTTTTACATTTAATGGATGCACCCAATATTGCCTTTTAGTTTTATTTTGTTTTTTATGTCTTTTATTTAGTAAATATGCAATACATACTGCTTCGACATCATTTAATGCAATGTCCATGTTTTTTGTTTTATAAAAAAAACTGTTTACACTGAAAAAATATATTAACCGAACACTTGTTGTCTCAAACACGTTGTTAACTCAACTGTTTGTATAAACCTCTGTTACAAATTAGCGCGAAATATTTTATAAATTATAAAAACCGCCTTAATAAACCGCGTTTGATCCGCTCCGTGTGTAAGTACATAGCGGTTGCGGTCGCGGATAAAAAACCGCGACCGCGCGCGGCTAAACCGCTCCGTGTGTGACCAGCTTTAGGAAATAACCAGGAAAAAAGGGGAAATAACACTACAATCGTAGGCGGTCAATGTCTATATATTGTTTGTGAAACAACAGGTATCTGACAAATGTTTTCACTATATTGTTGATTACTATGTATTATGTGGGTAAAAACGAGAATAAGTGATAAGTGCAAAAAAAAAAGGCCAGACTACCGGTTACCGAGACATTTTTTTATCAACTATAAGAATCCAACGGGAGACATAATATCATATTAACAAAATACAAAACCACCGCAAGGTAGATTACTGTGTATACGGCACAATGATCGTATATGGTGTATTAATAAAATACAACCGTCGTGATACACCCTATATATATAAAAAAAATCCGTCTTTTTTAAAAACAGTGTGACGATGATAGATAGTGTATGGCAACGGCGAATATTTTTCACTTATTAGGGTACAAAGCTATTGGGTGTGGCCTAAATATCCCCGGGCTTGGTCGGCGCAGGGATTTTGACCAGGAACCTGGGGATCAATAAATGGGAAAACGCTGTCAGCGCGGCAGCTGCAGCTCCCCTTCCGGCCTTACCGACCCTTGTTGTATTGTATTGTGTGCCAGCTCCAAACGTTAATTCTTCAGTAAGCAAATGCTTTGAGCCCCGGCCGGCTGTCTAATAAAATACACCGTTTCGGCACAGTAATTCGGATTTTATTCGGTAAATTCGGTAAAATAAAATAAAATTTAAAAGAAACTCCAACCGAGTAGTGTTTTTCTACGCGTTTTAATTACAACGGTGCATACAATGTTGGACCCCGAGCTTAATAAATTCGTGCAAACCGTGAAAACGCTAACGCAAAATAGTAAGTATATATTAACCGAGTTGGTTATTACTTACTTATATGCAACGAAACGTATCAAAGATTTCCATTTGAATATTTTTTTATGCCTATCATTATTAATATGTTATTATCTCATAAAATAAAATACTCACTAAACGTGGTAAGGTTTAATGTTATTAATTAAATGTTAATACTATTAAATTACCATAATTATTTTCTCACTAACTTAGTAGTATTTCACGCTTGGATTCTCATAAATGGCACATATATTTACTTCTAGTTTTAATAATTAGGGATGGGCTTGCGATACAATTATATCGATAATATCAATATCGACACTATCGTAAAGTACAAATATAAGAATATATCGACATATTTGGCCCACCCTTAGTTTTAACGCGTGATATCCAAACTAAATTTATTAGTTACATTAAATCAGTGGCGGTTTTCCCGGGGAGGCAAGGGAGGCGGTGCCTCCCTTGAAAATTAAGGAAACTATGTACTTAATATTGTTATTATGATGAGATATTTTGGTTTACAATAAATATTTTCAATCGAAAAATGTATGTGAACGATAATTGTTTTTGAAAGCGAAAAAAAAATTTAAGAATTTAAAATAACGTCTCTCCGTATCAGCGGTGCCGTCTGGCCGGCCGCTGCCTGTTGTTACACACGTAGCATAAGGGCAGCCGGCGGAGGCGGCTGCCGCTAATATCTCACGTTATGTTGTTGTGTTCACAACATACACACACACACACATACATAAAATAATACGAACAGCGCATGCGCAGTTCTCTGCGAGAGGCGACACAAAAATATTGCCTTTGTGGGCAACTGACCGATGATCGTGTTTATCTTGGGGAAGAAATGGGGCATAGACATTCAGCATGTACATCAGCACCGACACTGCCAACAACAAAACGCCATTTCCCATTATCACTAAATCATTTATCAGCAGTCGCAATTTGATATCACTATATTTTTTACTTAATTCTGATACCGGTTTACTATTTGGCGTTTTATTTAGTTTTCTTAAGTTATTAGTTAATATATTATTATACTTATTAGCTTTATTATTTTTTTTTTTCAAAATGAATCCTGTATATGTCAGTATAGTGGTTATGAAGCAACATCCATACAGAAAATCGTTTGCGATTACAATTTCATCTTTTGTAAATTGTATTTACATATGTTTTTATGATTATACATTTATCTTAAGTTCAAACATTTTAATGATAATTATTTTACTAGATGACCGGTAATGCGATTATAACTAATAACTAAGATAATAAGCAAAAGTCTTCTGTTACAGTTAAAAAAAGGAAGTATACCAGTATGAAGAAATTTTAAGTGTTGGGGTTTTGCGCTTTTTTTATCAATGAGGGTACAAAGTTGTTGCCTCCTCGACAATTTAATGCCAGAACCGCCACTGCATTAAATACATTTTTAAAAATATTTTTCTCACTCTTTTATATTTTTTTTATAAGAAATAAAACGATTCATGCAGAAATGGGTTGACAAACAGTAATTACTACTGTTTTTTAAGTAAATAGAAAATAAATCAATTTGTCACACAATTTTGTTTTGGTATGTACTTATTTCGTTTATCAAATATTATATTTTTGTTCTTTTATTCTAGTTCTTAAAATATAATGTATCGTGTACCTATCCTATGTTTAAATGATTTTATTCAATAAATATTCTATGAAAATAGTTGACCATATGACATGAGTAGAACGCTCCATCAATTTCAATTTGTGATTACAATGTTAAATGAATAAAAAAAAAAGTTAATACGATCTGGTTAAAATGAACAATAAAAAAAAGGGCGTGAGGAACAAAGCCTCCCTTGTTAAAGTGTAAAATGTAGTATAATATAATTAAGTGCACAGTTGGTTTCCCAAATCCTTTGTTAATGTACTGAGAACTGAAAATACCAACAAATTTTACCTGACCGTTTTACATTGATAACAAATTACAATTATACTGCATCAACTTTATTCGTCTTTAATTGTGTTGTATCTATAAAATAAAATCCATCGAGAGCTTGAATGCAAATAAAAATGAAATTGTAAAAATATAAATAACATATTGTGTTTTCTTATAATTGTTTCTTAGCTGGCAACGGTCGAGAACTAATGGTTTATCTTGATGAACAAAAGTACTTCCTCGAGGGCTTCGTGTCCCGCATGGACGGCGTATTAGCAGCTCTCGACATAAACGAACATCGGCTTGCAATTCTGATGGTTTTAAATGTTGACGCTTCGACTCAGCCAACTAGTGTACCAGTTGACTTGCACTTCGTGACAGTTGCATCACGAATAAATCATTTTGTTTCTGTTGTCAGAGCTGATGTATTTCATTCCTGCTCCAAAACATGTAAGTATTTTTAGCGCTGTCAAAGTTGTTAGTCAAAACTAATTTGTTTTTTTTTTTTTAGTGGCCAGCGTAGTGCAAGTTCTGTTAAGAAATCTACACAAAGTGAAAAAAACAATGATGATGATACCTACTATTCAACGCGCCATTGATAAACTGCAGACAAAACCTCACCAATTGACTCATTTCCATTACTTGCTATGTGAAGCATGCATAATGTCTTATAATCTTAAGGCTTCGCTGAAAGTCTTAGATCAGGAAGTTTATTTTTTAAACTCCGATGAAGTAAGTCACCTGGTTTTTGGGAACGGAAATCGCTAGTTATTAAGGGGCAAAAATATTTCTTGTTATAGAACTTTTAAAATTGTTTTTCTTTAAGTTATGGCGAATGTATGACACAATGAAGTAATTTTCTAGCGTATCATTTATAATTGGATGAATTTTTTTATTTTTCCTAAGACCTAAAAAAAACTTGTCAATTTTTTTTCCATTTCAACCTTTAATATTAACATTGTTCGAAAATGATGAGTAGACAGTGCCGTAACAAGGGGTAGGCGAGAAGGGCAGTCGACCAAGATTACCCCTTTTTGGAAGGGGGCAGAGTCAAAGTCACATATTTCTTTTTTTTTTTAAATTTATAAATACATTTTTTTTTTAATGTATATTAATTATATAGGTATTATATCTAAATAATATATTTAGATATTTAAAATGGAAATATACAAAATGTATTTTATTAGAGGAAGCCGAGGTTGTTAATTGAATAAATACTAATTCGGAAAGTTATATCAGAAGACAAACTCAATTAAAGGAGGATACAAAAACATGAATAGTTGATGATGGTTCTTTAGTGATAGAAGAAGACAGAATATTGAAAAAATGGTAATAGTATTTTGGATTGTTGCTTAATGGCGAAAACCCAGTTGAGACATTTGCATGGACGCCAACAGAACCTGATGACATAGACAGTCCACCCCCAAGCAAAGAGAAAATATTATAAGCTTAATATAAGCTTTGATATTCAAACCAACAAATAGAGAGAACTGCATAATTATGAACTCCAAATGCAGTTTCAAAAGCCTGATATAGTTGAAGAGATCACAAAAAAAAGACTAATGTGGGCGCCTGGCATAAGCAAGGATCCTTAGTTAGACAGGTATTAGAAGAAGATCCTATAGGCAGGCCAAGATAAAGATGGGAAGACTGTGTGAAGAAGGACATCAAAACGTTACGATAACGGTGGTTGTGACTTCCAGATACTTTCTGCGTTCACTGACAACATTTATTTAAATATAATTCACTATTATAAATTGGATTGAACTCAGATACGTTAAATAAAAGAAAAGTGTTATAATATCATGTCGATTACTTATATATTTTAGAATTTTCCGTTTTATACTATATCAATTCAATTATTTTTGTTTTCCTAAAAAAAGAAGAAGTATTTTTTTGCCAAGGAAGGTAAAAATTTTTGTTATGACACTGTGTACAACCTGTGGGAATGCATTTTGTTTGTTAATGTGTTCTGTATATTAATATTATGTTTTTTTTGTCCTACAGCCTAAAATTATATTTGAACCAAAATACTTTTTGAACTACTACTTTTCGGGCGGTCTCATATACACAGCGATGAAAAACTATGACAGAGCAATTACTCTATTCGAAATTGTTTTCA